AACCGAACCCTCCGAAACAATTAGCTCGTCGACAACTACTTCCCCAACAACAACAGCAACTTCCCCAACAACAACAACAACAGCAACAGCAGCAGCAACAACAACAACAACAACAACAGCAGCAGCAGCAGCAGCAACAACAGCACCACCACCAGTCACTCGCTTCTCACTTCCATCTCTTCCATGTGAGCCAAAACCCTAATTTCAAACTTTGCACAGATTTATTGCGTCTGTTAAAAAAAAGTTTTGAATTTGGGAATCTTTGATGGAATGCAGTTGGTGGAGAAATTGGCAGAGGCGATTGAGAATGGTAATCGGGATCAGCAGTCGGATGCTCTGGTATCGTCAAGTTTTTTGCTTTTTAATCCTAATTTTGGAATTTTCCTAATAATTAGGGTGTATGAGGTTGAATAAGTTCTTTTTTTTTGGGTGTTTTTTGTGTTGAAAGATCAGCGATTTGAACAGCCACTTCGAGAAGTGCCAGCAGCTCTTGAACTCCATATCTGGATCCCTTAGCACCAAGGCTATGGTAATTGGAGATTCCTCTTTTCTCTCCACAGAATTTTCACAAATTGATTGGCTTTACCATGATTTACTGAGCATTGCAATGTTTAAACCCAGTTCTCCAACTTTGCTTTTTCGAATTTGTAGATCTTATTTTTATATGACTGGCTATATTATTTCTCTGGGTTTCTCTCAATTGTGGTGTTCATATACTTTGTTTCCAAGATCAAAATTTCTAACGGAAGCAGGCTGTGACCAGCAAGATTCTAGCTTTTGTGAAAATTTCTTGGTCTACTTTGAGAATTGTGAGTGGTTTGGTTGTAGACAGTGGAAGGGCAGAAGCGGAAGTTGGAGGAGACTGAGCAAATGTTAAACCAGAGAAGGTATTCTCTGTTCAGTGCTTGTGTTAGCATATGAATTCCAAATTTCCAATCAAATTTTGCTGATGTTTGCATTTCACTCTTAGGGATCTGATGAACAAATACCAAAACTCCATCGAAAAGCTCGTGAAGTCGAAACCGTGAATTGATGTTACCTTTCTCTCGCTAGTAAGCATTTTTTTTCCTCTCTCTCTTAAGTTTAATACTCTGCTGAATTGTTTCGTAGTTTAGTTTAGTTTTTACTACGGAGTTTGAAGAGCATTTTCCTGTTGAATAATGTGTTTAACATCGCCCGGAGAGAGGTCTATTTGATAATTACAAGTGGGATGCCAATTAATACTTGTATGTATTTGTTGGTAATCTTTCCATTTTGTTTTAAGTATTTGCTGGTGATTTTGATTGGATTTGGATCAAGGTAATCTGGTTCTAAACATAAGACCTTGTCACAGGCAATTAGTCTTGATGTTTCTTTTCTTTAATGAGATAGTAAGATTGATTACTTAAGACTTTTTTTTTTTTGAAATAAATTAATAGAATTGCTCATTGTAGGTATAGTTACAGTGAAGCTTTTTCTTGTTCCCCAAAATTTTGGGGAGGCTGATCTTCCGTTGTAGTAAGAGGAAACCTCCTGCCTATCAGTGCACGAGAGTCGAGACTTCTTTCAAGGATTTTGTCACTCCTTGAACTAATTTTATCCAAAAAAAAAAAAAAAAAACAAGAACAACGAATTTCTTAGGAGGACATTGTTCTAGTTTATGGTGCTCTCTATTTGTGTACAATATTTTGTCAATAAATTGAGACAGTTTTCTGTAATTATGAAATATCTTCGAGACTCGAGAGTCGTTCAATAAATGATCAATCAAGTAGAAACAATTGTTGTGCTTTTGAAAATATAGAAATTATCACTTTTATCTTTTTTGTTATAGTACTTGTAACCTTGGTGTTGATTTTTTTTAATGCCCATATCACCTTGGTAATTATTATAATTAATCATAATGAATAATGATTACGACGAGTAATTGTAAAAATGTAATGCCATGGTTTTCACCCTCACCTTATACTGCACCAAGTCACCCTCACAAATTTCACATAGTCTAGAATGTCAGTGTGTGCGAATGTAACTTCTTTTTTTTTTTTTTTTTAAGGAATATTTTCGTCTTTGTTGGTGTTTTGTATTTGTGGCATTTCTTTTTTTAGAAAAGAAAAAGGAGAATGTAATTAATAACAGATTTATAAAACTAAATTAAGTAAATAACAGACTTTAAAACTATTTTAAGTAAACAACAGTATAACACGTAAATGTTTTATTTACGACTAGTAAAAAGATTGGTAAATTTTTTTTTTACCACTGATAAAATACATTTTTTCATGTTGATTTTTAACCATGTAAATTATTTTTTTTACAAATCATAAATAAAACATTTACATGACAATCTGCTATTTACTTCAAATAGATTTAAAATATGATATTTATTTAATTTAGTTTTAAAAATTTACTATTTACTACAATTTACAAAAAAAAAATTGTTAACCAACATATTTACTTTTCAATAAGTAATTATTAAGATTGATTTTTTCGTTCAAAACTTACAAAATATATGAAAAAAACTAGAAATACCACTAAAGATTATAAAAAAATATTATTCATGTTAAGATTGATTTTTTCGTTCAAAACTTACAAAATATATGAAAAAAACTAAAAATACCACTAAAGATTGTAAAAAAATATTATTCATATCATTTCCTTTAAAAATAAACAATTACTATTTAATTAATAAAGAAAATATAAAATGTCATAATGACATTTAATTATTTAGAATAACATAAATAATATTTGCATAAAGTTATGACAAACCATGTACTTTTCTTAAAATTTTATATGGATGGAGACTTTGTTGTATATTGTCATTACTGTACATTTAAAATGATTATCGAATTTTGTAAAGAAAAAAGGACGGTATTATCATATGTATTGTCACGTACAAAGATTTCTTTCCCTGTCTTTTCATTTCGTTGATTAATACAAGATTTTTCTCCTTGTTCCTCCCTCTTCGTGGTCATTAAATTCACATCACTCATCATATCTACATTTTCTATTTTTAAGAGATGCCCCTACCAAATAAAAACTCAATTCAATATAACTTACCTTTAACGGATCATTTCAAAGTCATAACATCCCAATATTAGATCCTTCCCCCAACAGAATCCGTTATCATGATTTCTTTCTCTCTCTTCCCCTCTTCCTCTCATCTCCCCTCAAATCGCTCTCCATGCAAAAAAATAAAAAATAAAATAAAAAAAATAAAAAATAATCTCAACCCCCCAACCAAAAAGCAGAAAAACAAGCTTCATCAATATTTGAAAAAGCATACCCGCCGGGAACGCAGCCGATATCTCTCGATCAAAATAACCATGAGCCTTTCAACAATAGCCACAACATCATCGACACCAACGACAACGACAACAACAAAAGGCAACGGCAGCGCCCAAGCTTGCGCGGCGTGCAAGTACCAGCGCAGGAAGTGCGCTCCCGATTGTGTTTTGGCCCCTTACTTCCCTCACGACAACCAACGCCAATTCCTAAACGCCCACAAGCTCTTTGGCGTCAGCAACATCACCAAGATCATCAAGAATCTCGATCCCCGCACCAAGGATGAGGCCATGCGCACCATCATCTTCCAGTCCGATGCGCGCGCCTCCGACCCTGTCGGAGGCTGCTACCGCATCATTTGCGACCTGCAGCAGCAGATTGAGTACGCCAAGGCCGAGCTTAACTTTGTGCTCCATCATCTCGCCCTTTGCCGCACGCAGCACGCGGGCGCTGCCGCCGTCGCCGCCACCACCGCTGCTCCTGATATTGCTAATGGAGTTGATCATTTGAATCTGTATGGTAACAATAGCATGACCAACGAGGGACAGTTTCTTCAACCGGTGCAAGAACACGAGCAGTACTTTGTGCTGAATGATGATGTTAGTTCGTGGGTTGTTCAAGATTCCGTGGCGCCGTCTGTGTCCGCGGACATTAAACAGGACATGGATGTTAAGCCTTTTATTGAAGATCATCAACGGTTTGTCATTTGATCATTTTTTAGAGAAAAAATAAAAAGTATATTTATTCTTTTAAAATCTTAATTTTTATGGAGATTTCTGTGAAAAAATTTGCAGGGGTGAAGCCGTATTAAGGGCGATAGGCGATGCAATGATCTTGAAAGAAGAGCAAGAATACTCGATGCAACTAGATGACGATTCAAAGGATGCAACTAATTTATTTAGGCTTACAAATTGTAGCAGTTGAAAGTGGAATAAACTGATGGCTCTAAATAAGTTTCTTCTAATTCTCTCTTTTGTCTAGTCTTAGGATGTAGAAAAAGAACATAACTGATAGTATCAATGTAGCCCATTTGTTTCTCTAACAAATTAATTCCATAGTTTGGATGGTGTTCTTTTGTTTTTGTTTTTGTACCTTTTTTTATATCTCACCTTGAAGCCAATGGATCTTGTTCTTGGTGATAGAATTAATAGAAACTATTATAATTGTTGGAAGAATGAGGTTTTTCAAGGGGGATTATCATTGATCCTATTGTAATCATTCTTATAGGATCGTCGAAATTGAAATGGCAAGTAAAAAAAAAAATCATATTTCATCTTCGGAAAGAATTTGTCAATCGAGAAACGTAAAAGATCTTCCTAGTGATACGAACGACCTGGTGGCTATTAGTATTCTCTAGCTTGTCAAGGCACCTCAACCACCATGTTTATTTCTTTATCATCAACATTCTGTAGACTGATTCTGCCATGAGGCACATGGCCTTCACTCTCCACTTGAAGCGCCAACCGATGAAGAATTCCGCATACCGACTCCAAACCTGTGTGTGCAGCCTTGCCAGCTGAGAACACATAAACCTTCTTATTCACCTCAATCCAACTCTGCCCCGGAGTTTTCCTTAAACCCTTTGTCTTTGCTGAGATTCTCACCCTCGCAGATTCTTCCCACCTCCCACTTGCAGCATAAATATTTGACAGCAGCATGTAGCTCCCAGTCCCTTCCGAATTCAGATTGAAAAAGTGGGCTGCAGTTTCCTCTGTAAAAGATGTGTTTCTGTACATTCTATAAGAGTTCAAGAGAGCGCTCCAAACGTAAGCGTTGGGTTCTATTGGCATGTTCTCAACGATTTTGCTTGCTTCTTGCACCAGCCCAGCACGACCAAGAAGATCCACCATGCATGCATAGTGTTCTATTTGGGGCTCAACTCCATGAACTCTGCTCATCTGATTGAAAAGAGAACGGCCCTTGGTGATGAGCCCCGCATGACTACAAGCAGAAAGAATGGCAACAAAGGTGACATTATCTGGCTTGAGTCCGGATTCAATCATCTGATGAAAAATTTTCAGAGCAGTCTCACCAAGCCCCTGCATTCCATAACCAGTAATCATGGAATTCCAAGAAATCAAGTCCTTACCATCTAGGTTCTCAAATATTATATGACCTTCCGTGAAACTTCCACATTTTGTGTACATGTTAATCAAGGCATTTCCTACCAAAATGTTGCTATCCATCATAAACCTAATAACGTAACCATGAATTGCTCTGCCGAGGTTTAGTGCAGCTAACTCAGCGCAGACAGATAAAACGCTACAAATAGTCACACCATTGGCCATTACTTCTGATAGCTGCATCAAAATGTTGCTATCCATCATAAACCTAATAACGTAACCATGAATTGCTCTACCGAGGTTTAGTGCAGCTAACTCAGCGCAGACAGATAAAACGCTACAAATAGTCACACCATTGGCCATTACTTCTGATAGCTGCATTCGCCGAAAGAGCTCCAAAGACTCTTCCCCTCTCCCCTTCAAGGCAAAACCACAAATAGCAGCACTCCAACTTATGATGTTAGGCCTCACCATCGGATAGCCACAAGATTTCTCCAACTGGGTAAATACTTCAAAAGCCTCATCACATAAACCAGATTCAGCGTAAGATGATATTAAAGTATTCCAACTAACTAGATTCTTGGTTTTCATCTCCAAAAAGGCCTTTTGAGCGTGTTCCAATAATCCACATTTCCCATACATACATATTAAAGCATTTTTCGCAAACAAGTAATCTTCAAAACCACCTTTTACAACATAACCATGAATCATCTTACCCTTGTCAGCAGAAGCCAAATCAGCACATACAGATAAAACAACAGCGAGTGCTTCAGCAGTTGGCCCAACTCCTGTCGATCTCATCAGGCTGAACAACTCCACGGCCTCATCACGTCGCCCACATCGGGCATGACTCGACAACAACGACGTCCAAGTCACAGAGTTAGGCTCAAAACCTTCCAAGTCCATCCGTTCAAACATCTTACTAGAACCAACACAGTCATAGTTATATGCATAACCCGAAATCATAGTGTTCCAAGAAACATAGCTTCTAACAGGCATTCTATCAAACAACAGACACGCATCGTCCATTCGCTCGAGCTTCCCATACATTCCAAGCAACTCATTCACAGCGTGAAGATGATTCCGAAAACCCATCTGCAAAACAAGACCATGAACTCTCCTGCACAAAGCAAGACTACCAATGAAAGCGCAGGCCCTAATAATCAAAGGGAAAGTAAAGCCATCAGGCCAAACTCCAAGCTTTCGCATTTTATCGAACAGTTGGAGCGCTTCTTTATAAAGCCCATGACTGACATTAGCTCTCGCAATTGAATTCCATAAGAGCAGGTTTGAGCAATTCTCAACTGGGAATTCGTCAAAAACTTTCTGGGCATCACCAACAAGCCCCAGGCGGGAATAAACCGAGACAAGCCGAGAGGCCAAGAAACCGGAACGGTGAGCGCCCGAGACGATAACTTGGGAATGAAGTTGTTTGCAGTGTTGGGTTTTAGTGCATTGCTTAAGAAATGAATCGAAGAAATCAAGAACTTCATTGTGGGTGGCACGAGAAGGATGTGGTTGGAGATCATGGCTATGAATGCTGTGGGCAAAAGAGAATGAAGAAGTGGAATTTGAGCGGAAAGAGAGATGGGAGTGACGAAAACGTGAAAAAGTTGACGTGAAACATTGAGCGGAAGCATTTAGCATGAAGGTGATTACTGATTAACTAGAAGAAAAAACTAGGAGTTGTTGTTTGTCACCCGAGAAAACTCTAATGTCGGAACATAGTTGCGAAGTAACAATAAAGTCTACGTCAAATAGGTGCCAACCCGTTTTAAGGAATTGGTTTGATTGGGTTTTCTTTTAAAATTTCAAATCGATTAATATTTGTTTTTAATTAAGTTTAAAATTAAAATATTTCAAATCGAACAATTTTTTGTTTTAATTAAAGTTTAAATTCAAATCCATTACACATCTTACACAAAAGAAAATTAGGTAAATGGCTGTTTTTTGATTTTTTTTTAATAAATAGCTGAACTTTTTATTTTTAAATAAACAAGTGGCTGAATTTTTTTATTTTAACAAAATGACTTTTTTTATTAATCAATCAATAATTGACTGACTCAATCTAAACTATTTATTATTATAATTTATTAATGATTTATCATTAATAAATATGTAATTTGTTGATTGAAATTGATTGATTATTAAATTGATTTAAACTAATTATTAATTAATAATAAAAAAATTATTGAGTTAATCAGAGATAATTTTAAGGCAACTCGTGATTGACCGCTAATCAATCAATTATTTACTATTAAATTAATTAGTAAATTACTATTTAGTTAATAAAAGAAATAACTATTTTACTAATTTTACAAAACTTCTGCTATTTTTTTTAAAAAACCCTTAAAAGAGGGTCATTTGCCTCTATTTCCTTATAACTTATAAAAAAAAAAGTCATTTGCCTCTGTATTCTTTATAACTTATTATCTTCCTTAATACTTCCAGGCAAAGTCTTTAGCCGGACACTCATATAATTCGACAAATATATATATTTTTTAATTCTCATGTTACTTCGTTTGTACGTGTGTATAATATTTAGTTTGATTAATGGAAATACTCAACGTTATTGTGTTGGATATAATTTTTCTAATTGTTACATTTAAGTAAATCGAGCGTTACACACAAACAGACGATGTTATACAGAAATTAAAAAAAATTACATTTATCGAGTTGTTCCGGAATGCTAAAGTTAAAGACATTTCCTATATTTTCATGGGAATTTCTCTGGTGTTCCATGTACTTTTAATAACACCGGTGTTTCTTGCTTAACAGCTGTCGGATCTGTATTATTTTTTAGTATGATTTGACTTTTGACTAGATTTAATATAAATATGATGACTGTTAAGTAGGAAATACTAATATTCCTAAAAAAGAAAGAGCACCCAGAAAAAGTCTTTATTTTCATATATGTTATCATGTCAATAACTTATGTATTTTATTCTAAATGATTCGAGAAAAGTTTATAACTAGTTACAAAGGAAAGAAATATATTTGATCGACTTAAATTTTTACAAGCAAAAAAATATCCAACTTATAAATTCAAACCGATTATAACAAAATGATCCGATTTAGTTTCATTTAAAATATTAAAATATAAAAAATAACTTAATATTTTTATTTTGTTTGATGGTTTTTTTTTTTTCACTTTAAACCGATCAAGCCGACCGTAAAAACTCCTCTTATTTGCATCAACTCCTATTATTAGTAGTGACAGTCATTGAACCATTTGACTTTGATCGAAATGTGTTAAAATATGCATATTTTTCTTAATCTGATCCATCCCGATACAAATTTCACATTCAGAACATGCAATATCAATGAATATTCTCTACCTTAAATTATAGAATCACCCGTTAATATACTAGTACCTGTATAATAGTTTCGTGTCTTTTACTAGAACTAAAAATTGAGCTGTTTTTGTAATTTTAAACTGACAAAACAAGAGGAACATGAAGAAAAATGGTATCGAAAAGACATTATCACATATATTTAACACTTCCAACAGTCACAATAAGTGATTGTCATTATGAAGGGCAAAACCCAAGCTTTCAATGGATCTCTAACATTTTGGTACGGCGATTTAATAGTACACCAAGACGAATTCTGTATTTTGTAAATTGTGGATCTCTCATGGCCTGTGAAAATTAATAACTCGGATTACAAACTAAGATACCCGCAATTGCAGAAGTCCTCAAGCTCAGCTCATTTTTGCAAAGCATGTTTAAGGTGAAACTTTGAATTTCACTCGCTTTTAGTAGTCAAAGGAATCCATATCCGGCATGCGGCTGGGAGGTTTCTTGACATCTGGATTCTCGAGTACAGCTGCCTCGGTCGTTGTCAATAGCAATGAGATGCTGCGAAAAACAAGAAATCAGATATTGGTTATAAATCCCGGGATATTCCACTAACCGGAGTTTGTCATAAGACAGCAGAATTTTACCTGGCAGCATCAACCAAAGCTGTTCTCACAACTTTCAATGGATCTATAATTCCAGCTTTAACCATGTCAACATACTCACCTATCAATCAAAAGTACCATGCTTATGAAAACAGCCTGAAAACAACTTAACTAGGAGAAAGGTGAAAATCTTCAATGGGTTGAGTTTTGGTTTCCTGATAATTTTAAGGAACAAACCTTTAGCAGCATCATAGCCCAAGTTATAATCGTCCTGTTCCAGCAATTTTCCGAGAACCAATGCACCATCAAAACCAGCATTCGTGGCTATCGTGAATGTGGGAGCCTGCAGTAAGTAGACCAAAATATCGACTATTAGGAAATATTGAGAAACAGAAAAGGCCACAAACAATAGGAGATCCCCACAAAACAACCTTGATAGCGTTCTGGATTATTTGTACGCCTATTTTCTGGTCTCCATTTTGAGTCTGAAGATTCTCTAAAGCTTTTGACGCATACAAGAGAGCGACACCACCACCTAGTAGAAAGACATAAAGTTATAAAAATGCTTGGGGCAACAACAACATACTTAAATAGACGGTCAGAGAGAAGGAAAAAAAAGAAAAAAGCACTAACCTGGCACAATACCCTCTTCCACAGCTGCCCTTGTAGCATTTAGAGCATCTGTTACCCTATCTTTCCTTTCCCCAACTTCAGCCTCACTAGCCCCTCCAACCTGTAAGAAAATTTTCAGTTAAAAATAAGAGCTTAAGAACTAAAAACCATGTGACAGCAATAACAAAAAGTGGACATACCTTAAAAACCGCTACACCACCGGATAGCTTTGCTAGCCTCTCCTGCGCTTTCTCCTTGTCAAACAAGGCAGTACTCTTTTCCATTGCCGTTCTTAGCTGGATCATTAGAACAAATAAACAAATAAAGTTCTGGAAAAAAAACCAAAAAAAACAAAAAAAAAAAAAACTTAAAAACATAAAAAACACAAAACAAAACAAAACTCCTTGATCCACCATACGGCATATACATACCTCCTCACATCTTTCTTCTATCAGCTTCTTATCTCCACCTCCATGTAGAATGATTGTGTCATCAAGGGAGACAGTCACCTGTTGTAATCTCTATGTCACCATCCCTTAAAGTAATACAACTAGAGCTTTCATTGAAATACAAACCTTTTTTGCAGTACCAAGCATTTCAAGTTGGACTTTATCAAGAGTTAAACCGCAATCTTCACTGATAACCTGTGCATCAAACACGTGAGTGTACTAGAAAACAAGCAAATATAGCCTACAATTAAAGATTTTGAAAGCCTTTCATCAAAAGAAAATTAAATAAATGAGAACTAAACTGTATTACCTCCCCTCCCGTGAGAATGGAAAGATCGTCTAAATTCGCTCTTCTGTTTTCCCCAAACCCAGGAGCTTTGACGGCACAAACCTAAAAAGATGACGATATCCCTGATTCCTCTAGTTAAATTACCAAAAATACTCAACCCCATTTACAAGCACAGGGAGAAAACTATACCAATACAACTTTACATGCGCAAATTTACATGCATGATACACATCACATGTACGCATGTTTCATTTTTAATAAATATTTGCATCAAGCATTTGCATGTAGACAGTATCTTCAGCAAGTAGAATGCCCAGAAAATACTTGAACACAAATTAATCAGTCTAGCGTGAATAACTTTAATACACAGAAAAATTACTTCAGAATATACAGAAGGATTAGGAAAAATAGATTCCAACAAATATATATACATGATACATCTACATGTTTTGTATGCGAATCGATGTGAAATAAATTTCCTTGAAAAGGGTTTCAAATATAATTAAATCTGGGTTTAGGACATAAGGGAAATTTATTCATTCAATTGACATTTATTTACATCTAATTAATATAGGAATAAGTTTGTATTACATAAAGTGATAAGTATATACATATGGTACCATCCAAAGCATCAGATTTTCTAATAGTCAATTGCAGCATAGCCAAGTGATCACCTTAAGACCAGCACGATGCTTGTTGAGTATAAGCATTGATAGTACATCACTTTCAACATCTTCAGCCACAACAAGAAGTGGTCTATTTTTCTGTTGAGGAAAAAAACGACAGTAGAAACAAGGAATAAGTTCAACCAGCTAATCACATGAACTGGGTAGCAAAAGGAGAAAAAAGGCAATCACCTTAACTGCCAGCTCTAGAATTCTCACAAGAGAATTCATGTCTGAAATCTTTTTGTCATAGATGAGGATCAATGGATGTTCAAGTTCCTGTTATTATGTTACAGCCAAAACAAAAATTATTCTGTAGTTATGGGAATAACTTTATAAGTTATATATATATATATATATATAACGAGAAAAAACCAACAACAACAACATATATTTAAACTTACACATTTTTGAGTCTTCTGGTCAGTGATAAAGTAGGGAGAGATATAACCTCTGCCTAGCTTCATTCCTTCCACCACTTCTAATTCGTTGTCTAAGGTATTACCATCCTGGAAATGAGCAAATTACATAATCTGTCTAAAATTCTTGCAAGATGGAATAACTCAGGAAAGAAAGGAGAGAGATGCTCACAGCCACAGTAATGACTCCTTCCTTTCCAACTTTCTCCATGGCTCTTGCTATCAGTTCTCCAATCTCACGTTCACCATTTGCAGAAATGGTAGCAACCTATACAATCATACAGTATTAGCCTCCCTTTTAATCACCATTTCAAATGAATAAACACGTAGATATTTAATTCATACAGACATATTGTGTGTGTGTGTGTGTGTGTGTCCATATGTACGACAACTAAGAGTACAACATAGAAGAACCATTTAAGATTCATTTGGTATGTCAGTAGGAAAAACAGGAAGCCCTCAGCATGTTCACAAAAGCTTTCATTTTCTCATCCTAACTAGTTATTAGTCCCAATGACTTTGTCACTTCTTTTTCATACTAAGAAATATTTTCACCAAAAGATAAACTTAAAAGATCAACATCTAACATCTCTCCTAGAAGCTCCATCACCTGAGTAATTTCCTCCGGTGTGCTAATCATCAATGCTCTGCTCTTCAGATCTGTAATGACAGTATCAACTGCCATCTTGATACCGCTTCGCAAATCCATCACATTTGTGCCAACTGCTACGGACTTGCAGCCTTCCGTGAGTATCGCCTGGGTCAAAACAGTAGCACAAGTGGTACCTGCAATGAAATATAACATATGAATCTTTTATCAAAAAAGTGAGGAGTCGAATGTAAGGATTACAAACAATACAGCTTGCTTTGCAGTAAATGCCAAATTCTAACGCCTTCACTACAATTGTGTTTTATAAACTTACACCTGAGTTAGCTCAAAAGGTTAATAATAGGGCCAGAAGGGAAAGTTAAGAAAAGAGTAATTACCATCTCCTGCAGCAGTATTAGTAGCTTTAGCCACCTGTTTCACAAGATCTGCACCTACATTCTTAGACTTGTCCTTGAAATTGATGCTTTTGGCAACAGTAACACCGTCCTTCGTGATCTTGGGCGTCCCGCTATTTGTCTCAATAATCACATGACGACCCTGAAATTGAAATATTGGAACAATCAGGCATAATGAAGAAATTCTACATCAAACTTCTTATCATAAAAAGGTACAAAACTCCAATGGAAATCCCGTGATGTTGGGAGATTTGCCTATAAGTAATCATTTTTATATTTTCGTAGTCATTTATTTTAGCTTATTAATTTAGCTCTATTTTGTTATTAGTTTGTAGTTTGTCTTAGTGGATACTTTGCTATCGTTTTGTAAGTGGGCTATAAATAGCCAAATTAGCTATTGTACTAAGAAACTTGATTATTGAGATATTGAATTTGAGTTGAGTGTTTTCTATCCAATGCAGGGGTTTTCACAATGATTTCTTTAGTTAGATTTGGACCTTTTGAGTCCCATCTCCCGTCCGGGATGGGACGGTATAACCTATTCTATCCATTCCACTTCATCAACAAGATCACCAAAAAACACACAAACACAAAGCATATAATGACCAGAATACCTTTGGTCCCATTGTGACTTTTACAGCTTCGGCGACCTCGGCAACACCTTGAAGCATGGCTGCGCGAGCTCCAACTCCGAAACTGATATCTTTGGCCACATAATTCCTGTTGCTAATGACCCTGCTGCCATATATCTTTTCATTTCAAAATCACCCGCCAACAAGAAATACCAACAATCAGCTCACACCCACCAAAAAAAAAAAATCCATTCAACAATTGTCAGACATTTTGGATACAAAATTAAGGTACAGTAAGACAAATGCGAAGAAACATTAAAAGTGGGATGCTGAGAGTACTTACAAGTTTCTTGGAAGATGAGGAAGCAATGGAAGAGGCTAATTTCGAAGCTATTCGATACATGACCGAGTTTGGAGTTGTGAAGCTATTCCCTAGTTTCGAAACGCGCTTCAAACGCGCCGGCCGGAGTCGGAAAGAGATCAACGGTGGCAGTGGTGGAGAGAGAGAGAGGGCTTTTCGTCTTCCGGGTTCAGCATTTGGTAGGGTTTAAGGCTCCGACATGTTTTATGGGCTTTTACTCGTTTGGGCTGAATTTTTTTACGAGCTAATGGGCCATAGTTCTTCGAGAAGGAAAAGGAGAAAAGTTATTTAGGGGTTGTTTTTTTTTTTTTAACAATTTAAACTCAAGTTACAACTTTATTCAAGTTCACGTTCTTTTAAATTTTAACTTTATTTAATTTTATTCAATTTTATTCAAGTTACAACTTCAACTCAAAAACTACACTCAAGTTACACTTCAAAAAAACAATCCTTTAGAGTGTGTGCGAATTTTTAATCAAATAATTATATTAGTTAAAGGGTATTAAAATTCAGAATTTAAAGATAAATTAGCTTTTTTTTTTTTTTTAGAAATTAGGTGCATACCACAATTTTTATATGTTTTGAGATTAATGCGACTTTTGGATTGTTTGTATTTGTCGACTTTTTGTTGACCTTTAATTTTTTTTCTACTCCTGTTGTTGTGTTCTGTTCTCTGTTGTTAGAGCCAATTTGGTCTTTTGAGTTTATAGAATGAAATCCTTTCTTTCAAAAAAACAAAAACAAAAACAAAAACAAAAAAATTTCAATCTTTGTAATTGTAGCACAAATTAAAAGCTTCAATATTTATGGCATTAATCTGAGTTAAGCTTTATTGTGCATGCCTTAAGATGTTTCTCTTAAGATTCCGATTGAATCCAGACAATTTTAGTTTTAGAGAGTATTTTTCTTTTTCCAAGAGGTAATCACGGCCAGAGATTGATATTCTAAATTCTAATATTCCCTCTTTCAATAGATTGGACCTATACTTATAAATAGAAAGAATACATGTGAGTAGTTGGATGAGAGTTTTTCTGCAAGAAAAAAAATAAACTATTAGTAATTATTTTTATTTTTTAGTCATCATATATGTATTAAAAATTATATATTTTGCATATATTTTTTTAATCTGATGTAATTTTAATCAGATTAAACGGTCAAAACGGATACTGTTAATAAGAAGGCTTGCCAGAAAAAGTCTTAGATTTCGTAAGTTATATTTAAACTAATCTACACAAAACATTTTGTACCCACTTCAAATGACTGAACCTTTATTGGTCCTAATCTATTTCTTTGGAAGCTTCTCTAAAAAGATGAACTATTAGTTATTTTATGTTTTCAATTTTCAGATCTTATTAAAATTATATTATATTAAAAAATATACAAAATATTTTTTTATACAAATCTACGATTAAAAATAAATAAGTATTGATAGTTCATTTTTTCTCAACCTCCTAAAAAACTCTCATTTAATTGTGCTCTTCTCAATTCACTTCTGCAATCCTTGTGTTGTTTTTTTTTTCTTTTAGAATTCTGACCGTTCTATGATATATATTTTTTAAGGACCTTTTATGATATTTTTTGTCATTGTGTTAAGCGGAGGGTCTTTTTACATTAATTTATGAGAGAGAGAGAGAATGAAAATAGTATTTAAAAACGAACAAAAAATTTTATGCTTTCTTACAAGGGCACCCGTCTTCACGTCACGTTGGCAGGGACGTGACCGCGTAAATACAGCTTTATTTTTCGTACAAAGGAAGTTGTGACCTGTGAGGTCTTTTCTTCAAACGACTTGTTAATTATTGCATTAAATAATTTGATTTTATGAGATTTTCATTTTTTTTTTTTGTCATTGATTTTGGAATATGTATTAGCCAAAAACTGTCCAAAAGATACGCTTGTCACTGACTCAGAGAACCACTTCACATTCAAAAACCTTTTTGGACCGTATTTCACGATTTGCGAAGCCAATGATATTTGGGAGTTAGAGTAAAAATTCTTTAATTTTAATTTTATTACGGTTAAAAATTTTTATAAAAAATTATATTTAATTTTTTTTATTATAGTTAAAAATTCACATATAAAATCACATTTTAATTCGAATTAATAAATTTTAAAAAAATTTATACTCAAATTAGAAAGTTTCAAGGTATGTTACAAATCACTATTATTACCTATTTTAAAAAGTCAATGTTTTTTTTCTTTTGAGGAAATTTTAAAAAGTCAATGTTATGCAGAAGAAAACAATTCTCTCAAATAATTCAAATTTGATCGAAGGAATTCGAATAATCAAACTTCATAATATAGTAACAAATTCATATATAACAAGAAAGCTTGACTATGGTCATTTCACGTAACTAAAAAAAGAATGTCACGTTAATTGCAAAACTTGTCCACATGCGCTAATCATGCAAGGCACTACTTTGATTTTGCTAGCTTTTGCCTTTTTTAATACCCAAAAAAGTCATCACGCTTTGCTCACATGGACACTCACATGCTGTTAGTTTCTGATTGGCAGAAGAGAAAATTAGGGGCTATCCATGTCTTCTAAAATGTTCGCCCGAAAGGGAAAAAAAAAAAGCGAGTTCACCCAAAGAATATCTTTACACAATAAAATTCTTTCAGGGCCCGACTTTATACACCCACGATAATTGAAGCCCACCACAAAGCCACCGACAACGGGATAAATCATTCACAAATTAAAAAATCCTAATATTATTCCATTAAGCCACAAGGAAAAAATAAAACACCATTTTCTTATTGGATTTCCCACGTTTGTTTGTGACAACCACTAAGGACTATCCCCAAGCTTTTGTATGTGTCTCAATCCACACCATACGGGGGGACCCACCTCAGATGATTGTGATTAAAAACAGCCATTTAATTTATACCTTAATTGTATTATAAAACCTTCTACAATTCTGAAGAACCATAATTTTTATTGTTATTTCCTAATTGAATTCTTATAGCCACAAAAAAAAAGGGAAAGAATGAAATGCAAAGCTATCAATTACTTGTGCATACATATTTTATATTCTCCATTATTATTTCGCTAATTCTATATTTCTCTTTATACAGAATTAAACATCATGTTGCATCCAAGAACACATACATCCGTGTATTTTCCAGGGAAAAAATAACATCCATATTTGTGACAAATTTTTAATAGGCAGTAAATAAATATCACGAGTGACTACATAAATTAAATTTTGTCAAATATAATGACTCCATAGCTGTTGTCTTACGTACACAAGCTTGAAGAAGAACATGGAAAAGAAAAGATCAATTGATCATGATCACCCACATAAAGGTTAGAAAGGTTGAGGACAATAAGTAACAAACAAAATTAGAAAATAAATAAAAAATCACAATGAACAAACAATAATATTATTACAAAAATTCCTTTAAAGTATACAAATAATAGCAGTTTCTCTCCATTAATTTACACCCAAAAAAAAAGAAGAGCATCACAAAACAAATGTATAGCAACTTAATAACAGAAAACTAGAAAAAAAAAAAAAAGGAAAAAAAATCGAACTTATAAGAAAATGAAAATCACACCTTGATTTGGCTTTTGCTTTCGTTTTTGTCTCATCAATCAATAATTCTTTTCTCAGAAGGTCCATTTCCAGATCTTAATCCTGATGTCGACCTTACACTTTGCCTTGGAAGTGGACGCCGTCGCCGCAGTTCTTTTCGTCGGAAGAGTGACTCTGATTCCGTCGCAAGTGACCCTAACTCCAATTCTCGGCGTCTTAAGCCCTCCGACCTTGGCCTTCACCTTCGTGTCCAGCTTCACCTTCAACGGCAAGCCGTTTCTGCTCCTCATGCTCGCCTTCAAATCGCTCGCCTCCGAGCTTTCGAGCTGCTTCCTGTCGCTCCCGATCCGCGTCTTCAGCAAGGTAGTGTTCTTCTTCCCGTGGACGAACGACGGAATGACGCCGTCGCCGATGTCGACGTCGCCAGAGAAGATCGAGATCGCGATCGGATTGTAGACGTAGACGAGCTTCTTGTTAGGGTTCCGAGCGGTGACGGCGAGGTCAAATCGGGAGTTGAGCTGGGAGGAGGAGGTGACGTTGAGGTAGGAGAGCTTGAGGGAGGTGACGGAGAAGGAAGGGCGCTGAGGGCGGTAGATAACATAGAAGGCCACGCCGGTGAGGCCGACGAGAAGGATGAGGACGAGGAAGGCGACGGGGCGCGGGTCAGCCAGAGGCAGCAGGAGCAGCACCGGCTGCGGCGGTGCCGCGCCTGGGGGCGGTACGCCGGCCGCGCGTTGCTGTAGAGCTGCGCCTTCGTTGCCGGGAAGGACGGATTGCCGGCGCCGTTGACGGCGGGCTTGGCGGAGGGGTAGACTCTGTCGGTCATCGGGGATGTAGAAGTACTGGTAGTGGTGGTGTTTGGAAAGAGGGAAAGTTTGGGAATTGTAAATTGAGAGAGAGAGAGAGAGAGATGAGAAAAGTGACTTATAGTTGTGGAAAGGAAAAGGAAAACTATATTCGAGGGAAAAACAGAGGGAAGAAAGTCGCTGTTTTGGGACCCAAAAGAAGGAGAGAGAGAGAGAGAACGTGGAAGAAGTGTAACTTTGAGAAGGGAGTAAGTGAAGGAAGGTGGGGTGGCAATATAAGATGAGAGAGAGACAGCAACATTGTAACCAAACACTGCCTCATTTTATGCCCAATTTCTATTTCCAGCGCGTGTTTTACAAATTTTGTCATTTTTTTTCAATTTTTTTTTTTAATGCAACTGCAATTGCAGGTTGTACTGGAGCAACTTTTTTTAATTTTCACACAAGTCCACGCATGTTTTCCTGGTCAAAGCGCATGTGTCTACCTCCTTCGTTCGCACAATACATGCCCAATGTACTGAAATGTAACTCAACTAAAGATAAACTTTCTACCTAAGAAAACTAATCAAAGCTAAACATAAAGCAATTATTAATTAACAAATGGTTATGAATTTTGTTGACGGTGAAAATTCATCAATTAGATTAATTCAGGTTTAGAAGTAGTTAGCGTGATTTTAACGGCTTAACTTTGCTTTGAGAAGATTTTTGAAGATAATCAAGAAGAAATAATACTAAGATTTATAGTAATTCATCGTTTCGTTTAAGAGTTATGTCTATTGTAAAGAGGGAGAATTTTTATTATGTTTTGAGTATCTAAAATTACAGAATGAGAGCCCACTGGGCTTGCCATTTTTTCACATATATATTTACTCTATTCTCTCTCAATCTCTGTCATTTTCATCATTACATTCTATCACTTTGTCTTCATATTTTTGGATGTAATCCTCGATGGGAGGGGTTTCTGTCAGTCAACAGTGATTTTTCACTTACTCTCCTGCCAACTTTGCTTGCTTACAAATCACGTAAGATATCCTGTAAATAAATAATAATAGAAAATGTCAGAATTACTAGCTAGTTCGCGATAATCTTACTCCCCGTTCTAAGAATTTTTAAATTGTAACATTTTGCTTACACTAATATAATTTTGATATAATTTGATAATTTAAAGCTGTGTCTCATTGATTACGTGTACTCCACGACAAAAGTTTATAACTCTTTTAAACTACAAATCTTGCTAATGGTATGTATTATATTTATCTAATAATTACTAACCTTAGGCATCCTTCAAAAGAGAATGCAAAGAGTGATATAACTACAAAGGATTATTGTGGTTGGATATGTGGTTAAAGATTTGAGTGTTAGATAACTATCTTTAAAAGTTCTAAATTTGTAGACATACATTATTTAATATATATATATATATCTCTTTTCATGTGATATAAAAGTTTATTAGGACTCCACGTTAAAAAGAAAAAAAAATATAACTGATATGGTAATTTGATTAATGTGAATAATTTCTATAATCAAATAGGTTGACCTATAAGTTAATGTGAATAATTGTTCTGATCATTACACTTTTTTAATACAATCAAATCACCTTTTTTTGGGTCGAATAATACAATCAAATCACCTAAACCATAAAGTTAAGGATCGATTTTAATCATTACTTGATTAAGTTGACTATTGAATAAGCAAATGAGCTACTGCTTCGTAGCAGAGTGTGGAGCAAACGCGCCCAAATGAAGTTGGAACTCTGCTTTCATGACCAAACACAGATGTCTCCACCTCACCAGCTTTGGGCTGGGGCTGACTTCTCTCCCTTGGGCCCAGATGCGAATCCACGTGTGAAATTTCCACTGTGCACATCTGTAACGTCAAACCAAGCCTTGGGCTCCACGTGGTCAAAATCAAGCTGTTTAGCTTTGATAATTAAGCAAAATCATGTGTTCTTAGCTTAGATGATGCTGTACCAAAGCACAACATTATCAAAAAGCACTCCTATTCATCCTATGAGGTTAAAATTTCGCTATTTACATAAAACGGGTCTCATTAAGTTGTAGGTAATATTCAATTTAGTAGGATTTACTATTTTATGAGTATAGAATTTTATTCCATTGAGATCAATATCATTTTTCTTAACGAAAAAGAGATTAGTTTGACAGTTGCTGAAAAAATGAAGTACCAAAAAAATTTGTTTCGTCATCAAATTTGCATTAAAAACTGTACGTGTTGCATATTTTTTTAATATAAGTAATTTTAATAAAATTTAATAGATAAAAAACTAACCCTACTTAAATAGGTCTTATAAAAAAAAAAAGCTAACGAAAGAAGAATAAAGTAATTATATTTGCACCCATTAAATTTATTAAAATTCACCAATTCATAAGATATATTTTTTACAATTATTTCCTACATTAAAATCCATTAACATACCCTTATATTAACTATAAATGAAAATATATTTTTTTTTCTAATTATAGTTAATATGGGTGTATGTTCTTTACCGAAATAACATACACACATACTAACTATAATTAAAATATATATTTTCAATAGAATCTGCGAATACACGATTGTCGTTGAGCTTTTATATGCATTAACTGCATATGATTTTTTTTTTTTAAATTGCATCTTGTTGCTTTTATATTATGGCGGTTTTGTTCTTATTTAATGGACATCATAAAAAAAAAATGAGTCGAAGACAATTAATAAACAAAAGTAAAGAGAATTGGATTAATGTTAAAAAAGAAAATATAACATTACCAGTTAAAAGTGATTATATTATTTTATAAATCAAAATTAATTAAATTAAGTATTATGAAAATTAATCTATAAAAAGATAAATTATTTAAATCTTTATTAGGATAGCATTAATTAATAGGGACATTTATAAATTTTTAGAGGGCAAATATATAACTACTTAAAAAGAATATTACCTTTTCAAAAAAAAAAAAAAGGATCATTAGATTAGAACCATAATAACCCAATTGCACCACTTGCACCTTCTAGTTAATGTCTCTGTTTATTTGGCCTTTCTTTTTCTTTAATCATTTGACACAATGAAAGTCAAATAAACACCTAATCTTATTCCTCACCTTCCAATCGTTTCTTTATTTGCTTGTTTAATAATATCAATCTGTCCACCAATTGTTTGATTTTTCAAGATACAAATTAATTATGGTCAATTATTTTCTCTATTTTTTTCCTGCTTACTTAGACAAATACACACCAAAGTGTTGAATGAATAGACAAATATAGCTAGTTGAAGGTCTCAATATTAACTTTACTATAAAAAAAAAAAAAAAAAAAGTTTCGATATTAACTGGATTCAGTTTTCAGCTTTTTCTTGTCTTTTCTTTTCTCTCTCTCTAAAATTATGTAATTCTCTGCACGTAAACTTTTCACCTTAATTTCAACGTGATTCGGACCCTCCACCGACAGTTTCACAACTCACAAGAATTATTAATAAGAGCCTTTTATTTTATTTTTCTTGTATATGTAATATTGAATTTGATTAACAGATTTTCTCTAACTCTGACAATTTTTCTGTTCTTTTATTGTACACGCATTTATAATACGCCCACAAGGGCCGCACACCATAATATATTAGTAAGTTTTACCTTAAAAAAAACAACTATTACAACTAAATATGCCGATAGAATAGAAATATCAAGATCAATATATCATATGATAAACAAAAAATCAAATCATTGTTTTGTATTAAAGAACAATGACCATTTCATTGCACATTCTTTTTTATTATTATTTTTAATTAGTGCGCATATAATTCCATAAGAGAGATAAAATCGAGCTCCACGAGAATATAAGAAACAAATTTTTTACTCTTTCAAAACGCAATCAACCTACAGGTTTCTTCCTATATGATTTTAGATGTAATGTTCACATCAATCTTATTCACCTGAAAAATTCCATATCTGACTTTAAGAAATTTAATTAGAAGTTACAGACAAAAAAAAAAAAAAAACAACGCTAAAACAAAATATGAAATCATAACTATATCGAGATACGAGTGGATAAAATCATAACTACTATGATATATATATATATATATGTCCAAATTGACATATACTAGAGTATAAAGACGAGAGCCTTTTATTTAGTAGTCGGAAATAAAAATATTATTTTGATCACTTCTTTATATTGTGGTATTATAAACTCATAAATGAGTAAAACCAATGAAAGTCTTCTTTAGCGGTAGTACAATGATATATATGAAGTAAAGGGGAAATATCATTGATTGATTTGTTTTCTGGTATACTATAGTAATTAGTTGGTCCATATTTTCTTTTGGGAAAACTGTAATTGAGAAGTGTATTTAGTATTTACCCATTAGGAGACTTTTTGGATCTTCCACATTTAGGATTATTTATTATTGTGCCATTGAGAGGAAGAAAAATAAAGGTCATCATACTATCAATCTTAGGTCTCGTTCATTTCACCGATTCAAATTTAAAATTCAAGTTTTGCTATAGTAAAAGGCTCTCAGAAACAGTCACATCTAACTTTTTTACTACAGTAAAAAACTTTCACATAAAGTCACATCTCAATTCGAATTAAAAACTTAAATCAACAAACTAAACGGGCTCTTAACATTCACATGAATATTCCCAATTAGCTCGTAACCTATTCAAAAATGAATTTTGGCTTAAAGCACAACAATGAAAAAATAAACTAAACCATTAATAAAATCAGCTTTTACCTAAAAAAAGAAAAATAAACTAAACCATTAATATGTGTACGTATATATTATACAATATTAATATTATTGTTGTTTAAGCATCCAAGTAGTTATCAAATTAATATATATAGATGACAACCAATGCCAGACAGTCGGTTGGTCTCTATAGTTTTTAATCTCACAGTAAGGTTGGACTATAATACTGCTCCTTGGAATTTGGATTCTATTAATCTAAATCCAATAATAATTTGTAACAAAACAGAATAGATATGAATAAATAAATAAATATCTAAAAGTCTACCTTCCTCAACTACCTTGCTGGGGTTGGCTTCTAGTTCTCAAAATTCCTCTGCCAGAATGAGTGATAATTAGAATATTATTCTTTTTAAAAAATTAATTAGAACATTATAATCCATCATATTCTTGTTACGTCAGTACCATACAAAGAACCATAATTCATCATCCATTTAACTATATCAATAATTAGAACCGGTAATTTTAAGATTTGACATCGTAAGAAATGGTCTTATATTTTTTTTTCCTTGTTTTAGTAAATGTCTGTCTTTG